CACCCAGAACTCAGCCCAGATATAGAAGTATTTAACATAAAACAGACCTACAAGACTGAAAATAGGGAACCAGAAATACCAGTTTGCAACAACAGCAAAACTTTACAGTTTTGTTACAAAACTTCCAAATGAAGAGGAAATTGAGTAGATCTCAAGAAAAACAAACAGATAAATATAAATAAATAAACTTAACTGTAACACTAAAACTAGGCCAAGCCTTAATATGAGCCCTAGTCCAACCTCTAACCCTAACACTAGTTATAACCATAACCCTAATACTAAACCAAGTCCTAGATCTAGCCATATTCCTAACTCCTTACTCCTTCCCAGCCCTCTCCCTCCAAAAAATTATGAAGGCAGGGGAAGACACTGGGAGGAGTATGAGTTAAAGTAGAGGTAAATACTACTATATATACATCATCCTGCAATAACAGTAATCAAGTAGATACATGGAAAGGCACTCAGGCTAAACAGGTGTGGGAAAGAGAGTGGGACTGTACCTGGGAATATGTATAGGTTTGACAGAGGATATTTCTATACCTGTATTTACCAATGCTGCAGAAGTATCCATGAATGTGGTGGAACATACAGAAGCAAAGTTATGAAAACGTCTTAGTCATAACCAAAAAACTTGAGGGACTGAGTCATGGGACCTGAGGTCAATCAGCATACTATAGTCCTCAAAGACAATGTTCAACATCCGAATTTACTGAGCAGCAACTGGAGTCTTAAAAACCCTTGAGTAGCCATCTAAGGAGCAACTATTGGTCTCTCCCCATCCAGAGCATGGAAGAGTGAAGAAACTCAAACATCAGCCACCATGATCCTGAAACAAGAAGAGCTAAACAGTACCTGGCTACCAATACCAACTGCTCTGAAAGGGATCACATTAGAAGGTCCTAGATTGAGTGGGAGAAAAATATGGAACAAAACTCAAAATCATAAAAAATACCAAGTTTCCTGGTGGGATAGATACTGCTGAAACCCCTGATGCTGTCGTCCTTAGTGATCCTTCATGTCTAGAACTGAACTTACCTTCAAGGCTCAATTTGTAGCCAAACAATAGGCAGGTCTATAGGGGAACAACAGTACTAGGGAGGTATGCACACCTTATAATAATAAAACAGTTAAGATTTTATAAAGTCAGCGTTTACCCATGGACAAAATTCATAAGGGTTAGGAAAGAAGAAGGAATGGAAAAACAGGGAGGAAGTGGGATAGGTAATGGCTATTACATTGTGGGATTGTAATCAATGCCATGAAACAAAATACGTATAAATTTTTGGAGGAAAAAATTGAGTTTCTCTGTACACCATCACCTAGTTCACAATAAAAAGTTAAATACATACAATGCTAAAGTTAACCTATACATAATATAGCTTCATTGTTCTAAATGATCAAAGCAACCTTCACTGACTCATCGTTGGGCCTCAAAAATAATGTAACTGTTTCCTTTCTTGCTCTTCAGCTGATTTTCTTTCTTACATAAGAAAACCAAAATAATGTATTCTCTACCCATGCTTTCAAACTTTTTAGAAAGTTTACATTTTTGGATAAAAATGAACACAAATTGATTCAGAAAATCACTTAAAGAACAAATTCTAATACCTCTAAATATTCATTCTGGTATTTGCTGTGACCCACTATCAGTTCTTTTTGACGATGAATGCAACACCATTCCTTTTCAATTTGTCATTCCCTGCATAGTAAAC